GGAAACCTTATGATCAAACACGATCAAACACCTATTCGAACGCGACTAACGCAAGAGCATGGCCATTTTGTCTCTCGAACTCCGCATGTTTCTACTAGTGGAATCAGTAATGATGCAGGGATAAGTAATGGCGAACTTGATAAGTAAATCGCTTCATTCAGAGTGGATGATGACTTAATTTTTAGTATTCATCGTCCCCCTGATAGGTTATAAAGTAGGAGTAATGAGACGCCCTTCTCTATCAGGGCCAACCAAAATGATAATGTACGAGTTATGAGACACCTACAGAATACATATTCATCTCTTCTAAAAAGCACGAGTCGATACAAAATTTGGCAGTGGCTGTACCTGGCAACCTGTCGAGTCCACAATTACAACTCAGACCGCCACACTTTCAGCACTGAAAACAGATCTAAATCCGACCGAGGAGTAGGTGAATGCAAAAATGCACCCTCTCAGTACTTCATCCAAATACACTCGAAGCACAGCAGCTCTGAAGTGCGCACTAAAAGGTTGTAGTGATATCCAACTAGACCAGCGGAGACAAAGTGTGCAACTTCTAGTTTCCGCGTGCAACACCAAAACAGATATCGAGATAAGCAGCAGAAAGCCTACCCAATATTCCTCCCCTAGCACCTGTGAAGTATGACTCCAACTCCCGTAGCTCTAAATTGGCAAAACTCCTATACGTGCAACGCCGAAATAAGCAACAGAATGATGGTATACCTTAGGATCTCGCATACACAAAGGCACAACCACTATTAGCCCCAACTCACAACCCATCCATCAGCACCCTGTTCATTAGTGAACTGGAAACAGTATACTCAGAGCGAAAACACGTTGCGGGACTTTAGTATCTCCCCACCTCCATGTCCTTTTTAGACTGTAGTCTTCCCTACATCATCCCCCAAAATCGAGCGGTCCTCACGTGCTATGATGAGCCAAAGGATGATCAAGTTACTGGAATATCTACTTAATTCACTACAGTAAAATACAGAGCTCACTGTGACACAATTACCTCAGAGCACACAGCTTTTAGACAGTGAGGAAGAATCCAAATTTGCCAACCACTTTTGTCTCTACATAACGGTCTCTCAAATCTGCCCTTATTAACATTCGCTCACTATTTACCGAAATTGGATCTATTTGCAAAGCTTATGCTTATGAAATCCCCTGAAAAGTGGTGCACACCACACCATCCTTACCTTCCACGAGCATGTAGAGTAAACGGTCATTAAAGCCAAGAAAAAGGAAGCCATGTGTCTTAAATTATAACTTGTTAAGTGCCAAACCTATATGGGCAAAACTTCTACACGACCAGTGTTAGAATATTGGTTCCTGGCATTCGGCAATGCTGCGCAGAGTGACACTCTAGTACTGGAACGCGTTCGGCGTGTTTTCGCATGACAGATCCTGGGTACTAGCCAAAAGCTTACATTTTCGGGACGCAGCAAACTGCTACTGATAGGCTTAAGTTAAACGTTTTACATCCTTTCGACGTAATTTATGAGCACATTCACACACTTGCATACTCCCCGTAACTGCAACACACAGAACGCTGCTCTGTCCGCAACAAAAGAACTCACACTGGCAGTTTAAAGTCGCGCACCAATCTGCATGCAAACGTTTTCCTCAAATGCATGGATTTGTGATTGCTTCCCCTGTCCATTAGATCATGCACATCTCCTCACATTTCAGCGTATAGACAGATAGATTTCTCACGATGCTAAAAGCTACGCAACTTTTCAAGTCCAGTATCAGAAAGACAGATCTATCCAAAGAGTTAAAATGGCAGAAAATGCCGTCCCCAACGCTTCTTGGCAGTGTATTAAAGAGATTTACTTGTTACCACAGAAGCCAAAAATCAAAGAAAACAGACTGAATTTACATGCCCAATTTTCCAACCTAGATCACTTTCTCTGTTTACCTGGTCATTTTGGAGTTAACAAAAATCCTCATCTTCAATCGTCCTACCACTAGTATATTCATTCGTTACTCGGCCAAACCCACCTCAACGTTTTAATGTCTACATAAAAATCCACGACAGAAGATAAATTGAGTCCTCCTTTTTACTCCATAAACCCTGGTTATATCCTCTTGATAACCGGCCATACCTAAAGTATTTTATGTCCAAAAAGAAGCCGATGAAGATAGATTAGCCTGGTACTCTTCCTCTTTTACCCGAGGATTGTTACGCCCCTCCCTTCCACACATTCCACAGAGCACTCGTACTAAAAGTTGCTGTTGCCACTTCTGTTCCATTTATCCATAGGCGTAAAAGAGAAAACCATTAAACATGGACGTACTAAGCAACTAGTTCCGCGCTTTCTTGAACCACTTTTGAGTATACTCACCGTCACGGAATTCTGAAACATTAGCAGGCCTATTAACGGTCCATAGGAACACATGCCTGACGGATTCTAATGAAGTACCGTTCGGAGCATGTCATGTAGTACTTAAGATGCATGCGTTTGTACCTGTTTTTATTCCGTGTATGTCTCTAAATATTTCATTATAAACTTGTATCCCATTTCCCCTGCAACACTTTAGAGTCGTTACTAGTGACATCGCCACATCCGTCTGCTCCACTCGTATATCGGTTAACCTGCTCACTGTTCCATTTATCCAACCTGTCTTTTCCCCGAGACTCGTGCAACAACTGTGGAAAAATCTACGAATACGCATGGCTGATGAGTCTCCTGCCTTCACACAAACAATTAGTCCAGCTCAAGTCACCTCAAGCTACAGCGCTTCGCTTTCTATTCAGATACTCCTCACTTCGTTGCAATGACAAACTACACCGTAAACCAGTAGATGCCAGCATGTTACTGACACACAAAGGTGCTACCTTACTGGTTCCTTGCAAACTGCCAACCAACTTGTAATCGGCATAGCCTTTCATGTGACTAATTTGTCAGACTGAATGGGGTGTGCCTCAACAAATCGAGATCGCACGTATTTGTCTATTTAGTTGAAAATAGGTCATCTTTGTGATCGCTTTGTGTGATTTGACGTTACTAACAACCTGGCTCGTGTTCCACACAGTGTAAAAATAAGCAATTTAGTAGCTTAGTTTTGCTTATCACTATTTCATCAAACCTGACAGTTTGCGTTGTCGTCAGTTCTTTGGACCGGCTGCCAGGGGCTCTAACTTCTTTAATAGAACCCCATTCGCCTAGATCCAGAGCACCACTACATTTGTTTCCACTTGCTGTTTTATTCGCACTTGTGAATCTGAGCTGGAATTCCAAATACAATGGACCAGTGCGTCAGCATTCTCGTACTTCTACTGCATGGGCTCAAACAGGTATCCGGCTCAGCTGAATGGACACCGTTGTTTAACTGGTTGTCATCAAGAGGCCAACCCATATAATCTCATCACACTCCTTCTCATACCACAGCAGATATAATCAACACTTGCATAAATTTTGATACTATCATTAGTGGTAAATGTCATTTCGTTACCTGGTGACAAAGTTAAACATGGAGATTGTTATTGTGTTGGGATTTCGCACCCAACACATACACGGGAACTTTGGGTGGTTTCCAAGTTGATCTTACTTTAACCATTCGGGCTTGGACTTTCTGTCGAGGTAGACAGTCCTCTATCCTCTGCTTCCGGTTGACTGCATGTCCTGAACGTCCTATAAGCTGCTTATTTCATGTCCCCCTTGCATCACATTTCCGGCTGCCGCTTGCAAGCCCATTTAATTATATGGTGTGTTTGAAGACGCAGTAAGCGGTATTTGCGGAGCCAGTCGTGCTGCCCAGCGGTCAGCTGTGAAGTGCGATGTGTCAAGCTACTTTGGGAGCAAATCTTATTGGAGCTACTAAAAAGCCCGTCACCTACTGCACTGTCTACTTTCTGTTCCCCCTTACCGGAATTCAGCATCCTGACGGATTCAAGTTACTTAGGTGTTCACGCAAGTGTGTTTTTTATTTACCTTTGGGAGATGTGGATCCATCGCTGCGGCGTTTATTGGATCTAGTTTCCTTAGCGGAACTGTTAGGGCAGGGTAAAAAGCTATTAAGGTCCCCTCATCAAATTTTTATTCCTGTAAAAATAAGGGATTTGAGGAGTGCACCGACAAGGTTTAGTGATATATTATCAGATGGCAACAAACAATTTGACGTCCTTTTTATTCAAATTCGTGTCCTTAATGAGCATGATAGTTGGAAGATAGAGACCGATTTTACTTAGAGGAAATCGACAACCACGCAATCCGTTCGATCTCCTAGAAACCTTGACACAGCATGCATTTTTGCTTGTGCTCATACATCTGTGTTTTCTGTACCGTCACAAATCACATTGAAGTCACATCAATTTTCGCTTACTGACGATAGTATTCTGAAAAATAAATAGCGCCTATGTAACCTAGAAAAGTTACTAACTAACCGACGGACAAGTGTAGCTAATTAAGCGCATACGCTGTGCGGACCTCATTCGGACTCTCCTGTGATGATGCAAACGTGCTTGCTCCCTGTGTACGGGAAGTAAATGAGTTAGCTGAAAATGTCACTAATGACTCAAACAGCTATAATCACCGCAAGTTCTAGGTACTTAGTACAGCTGGCGCGCGTACGAAAAGAAGCTAACAAACGCCGAAGTAACACTTACATTGGATTTGAAGAAAATAGTACCACTCTCTACTTGCCGCGCTACATTACAGGACACTTGGATGCACGAACACCGTTGCTCTGCACTCCAGAGAAAACCGTTGCACCTGCTATAATTCTAATCACAAGATTTCATTGTTGAATTGGAAAACAGACATCACATCATTCTAAAGCTATCCGTTGAGAAACTTCGATACGCAATAATTCAGTTATAGGCTACATTTATATCAGAATTTATAGGCGATCAGATCCAAACTTTTTCTTGCATGTACGTTAGGAAATTATGATGTATTCTACGCTGCGGTTTTCTCACCACGTAAACCCATACCCCACTGAGAATATTGCGAGTGTATAGTTGCACAATTTGTCCTTGTACGACTCACCGTTTAGCCAGCACCTCTTTCGATTGGCTGTCCTTTAAGTGCTGTCGTAGCTCGTTAAGCTCCTGCTCCAGCGATTCCTTCTCGAAAACAAGCTTCTTTGCTTGATTGCGCAACTCGGACGCCTCGCGTCTGGCCTCGGCTGCCGATGTGGCCACTTCCCTTACATTTTCTTGAAGGTCGGCTATGCGTTTCTCAGCAGTGGTCCTATCCATTTCGGTCCCTTGTAGCTGTGAGCGGGTTACGTTTGTTAGACGAACTAATTCCACGCGTTCCATCTCAGCAGTCTTCAACTGCCTTCTTAGCTCATCATTTGAAGCGTCCAGCGCCATTTTTTCGCGTTCCAACTCAGCCGTCTTTTGTCTCAAATCGACGCACTCCCGCTTGGCAGCATCAATCGCCTCCTCAACTGATGAGAAAAATGGAATAAAATCAAATGTTTCCTTAGTTTCATAAATTTTATGATGGTTAGCTGACATGGATGCTCAAGTAGTATAGGTTGAAAAGGAGAAAGCTGTGAAATGCTCCGAACCGCTTTCATGGTTAGTGCCGACTTTCAAGAAGATGTATTTACTAATTATTGACTTGTGAAGTCTATCAGGTAAGTCTTTCACGTAAGTAGCGGCTCCATGCGGCTGCATTGAAGATCCTACTTATCCGTACCGTGTGAGGAAGAGCGAACTCCACATAGCGGTGGTAACCTTTCTATTGAAAAGTACAACAGTATATAAGAAAAAAGTTGCGCATTAGGAGTATGAGTAATGAAGTATACACGTAAGTTGACAGGCTCATCCTCTTTCTAAACATACAAATCGGTTGCAAGTGTATAATAAAGAAAATCTCCCAACGGGTTGTGATTTCTCTATTAGTTGCCCATGGATGTGCAAATACAGGCGGTTTTGACGTGCGGATTATTTCATGGCACCGCGTATCATTTAATAATTCCTGGGAAAGTTAGCGTAAATCATGTCGTTGGATAGGACTTGTCTGCTTTTACCGGAGGTATCTAGTGATACACCTCTGAGTAGCCAAAACGGACCCTGTTCACTGGATCCACATGTGCCTTCGTGGTTAGGAACTGTTGCCTTCAAATTGTCCACATACCGCAAGCCTTTTGGAGTTTCAAGCTAGAAGGGTAATCATTGCGATTTCTGGAGATCATATACTAATAGGTACCTAATGACTAGCGCGGTTGAAAGCGTCCGTCATCTGATGATATCACAGGGCTCATCAAAAGTGACCTGAAAGCTACCACCAGTTCATTTCTTCAGCGTTCTGTAAAGTAGGGAAATGCAATGGTAGGATATCTAATGGAGTGGAAATCATTCGGTTTCACCTAACTACCAGCCGGAATTGCAAGTAAAACAACACACTGTGCTTGGTGGAAACGGAAATCCAAATATAACCAGCTGCGACTCTTGCAACCAGTGTAACCATACATGTTCTCATGGATTAACTGAGGAAAGAACAACACAGGATAGCATTTAAAGTACCGTTTAACTCTAAAAGAGCCTGTTTTACCTGCGCGTATACGGCTTGTACTTTCCACCAATTCAGCTCGATTTCCAGTACGGAACTCTTCAGCCAGCCGAATTTTAAGGCGCAATTCGTTAGTTTCCTGTATCAGCTGCTCTCGCTGAGCCTCGAGTTCGTGGATGCGAATTCGAAGATCGCGAGCTTCCTTTTCGTGTTTTGTGCTGTATAGAAAAATACTGAAATTTACTTGGTACAGGAAAAATGCAGGCATCCGATGGTTGTGATTTGTTCACAAATTGTATGAAACTATGGAGTCTGACACGCAGGCAACGTTGGCCAAGCAGTAAATTTAGGTACTGTAGAGTGTAAAAAGTGATTTGAACATGGAATTATCAAGTGATTCCAACCCCTGGTGTCCTGTGTTCGCGCAAAGCTACGCATTGCCGATTTGTCAGTACATATTGAATACAGATGACATGGTGTTGTGCTTGGTTGATAGACAAGTCGACGTAAACTTTATGTACGAAAAGAGGGGCGTTTTCAGCATGTTATATTAATAAGTGTAATTGTACTGGATTGGCACCGTCAAGCGTGCAAAACTTTACGAATGGGTAAAGAAAATGAGGAGGGTGTTTTGTCAGCAATCGAGCAAGCGACCACTGCGTAATACTGAACTTAATCTTCGGGATTTGCATCCAGCCAAGCTAACAAAGTTTTATCGAAACGTTTCTTCATAACTCGTTTCAGTTGACATAAACTTTTATGTTCAAAACTAATAGATCAGGAATGGTGTGCGATAACTCAGCATTTGTACTCAAAAGGTGAATAGAGTAGATTTGTCACGGGGACTATGGAAATGGTTTGAATAAAATATCTGTGAGCTTATTCTTGCACAATTGATACATCTACAATAGATAATGTAAAAATGATGTTCAGTGCAAAAGTCAATGACCGCCTCTTCCGTTTTATCCCGCCTACTGTTAGTTTTATCAAGGTTCCTCGTTTGACCCCAAACGTTGCAACAGTATTTTTTATCGGAGTGTCCAGTTTTCATGCAATGAATTCTACTAGTAGAATCCTGAAGTGTTTTAAAGGGTAGTAAACCTTCCAACGGGTTTGGAAACCCAAGCTAGACTGGGTCTTCATCTGTTAGACATTTTGGTCGTGACAGCCACTCGAGTTCGGAAGGTAGGTGAAGGAGCATTAGAAGAGAGGTTGTTTGGGTTTCTCAACCATTTGCTTCATTCCTTTTCGAACCTTCTTGGATAGATGGTTATCTTAAGAAAAGGCTTCAACTCTGGATCGACATTAGTAAAAGGACAGTTGCGTTTTGAAATGATGCCTGTCTTAATGGCTGATTCATAAGTTTCGCATGCCCTCACTGGTTAACAGAACCCAATGGCAAAATTTCGAATAGTCAACAACCATTTCGAACTTTGGAATACTCTGGCCTTGGTTCAAAGGCTTTGTATGTTAGCATTCAGCCTTGTTCACCAGTCCCGATAGCTTCAACTGACTTTCTAGCAAAACGTCCAGCAACATTTGGGGATATTTTTGCATCTTCATAAATCATTAGAATATATTTCCGGTAATCCGTCTCCTCAATTTAGATCGTTTGCGTGTGTCTGTCTTAATAAATGTGTGGTTATTAGAGATACGACAAATAATCCACATTTAGAATTGGTGTTATATATATATATATATATATATATATATATATATATATATATATATATATATATATATATATATATATATATATATGGGTGATGTGTCTCATGCGAACGTCCATGTTGCATACATATTGCTTCTTCAACGCAGCGGGGCTAAACCCACTTACACTTAATCTAGGTGTTTTTAATCTGGACAAAAGTCATTCTTCTTTATTTGGTCTGTTCAATTCTGTTATTCTGCTGCATATCCCATGTCAATTTTGTGTGTTTGCCTCCCATTAAATTCTGTTGTTTGTTTGATATCCCCGGTGTGTCTGCGCATGATGTGAATGCTGAAAGGTGCCTACCTGTCTAATGCTCTCAGCTTCGATTACTGGCTTAGGAGACGGTGACTCGTTGCTGTGGGGACGCTGAACACCATCTTCGTGACCGTATCAGTCTCAAAGAGTGGTCCCGTCCAGTGTGAAGCGGACTACGACACAGCCACCGCCTTGTGTACGTCTGGTACGCATGATTCCTAACATAGATAGACAGCAATGCTGCGGCTGTGCAAGTCGAAGGAGTGTGAACCGGCTGCGTTGATGAAACGTGACTCCCATCCACATGCCTCTGGTTTTATTTCTTCGAGTTTACGCTGGATATGGGGTGGGTAGATGGAGCTGTGGGTGGTGCAGCGCAAGCCACCTATAGTCCCTCTGTAAGCGTGGGCCTTTTATGACTGTGAAGGCCGCAGTGACAGGCAAATTTGAAACCGGACGTTGCCTATCATATAGGAGTGATAAGCTATAAGCTTGTGTATGCACCAGCAAGTTTGAATTGAATCGCCTCTTTTCATAGATGATTATGGTTGGATTATTATCCGGATCATTCTAGTGTCTAATAAATGATTTTTTTATCAACACACTTCGAGTCTTCCAGTTGATTCCGGAAATTTCGAACTTCCTCCGTAGCTTTCTTTAAAGCTGAACGTTCTTGCTCTTCACGCACACTATTCTCTCTCTGTGATCGATCCAAAGCCGATTGTAGTTCAGTAATCTGGAACAGAGACAACAGGGATAAATTTGGTGAACTGTGAGGGTAATGTGATAGCATTTGGTGAGGTTCGGCTTCTTGGGTGAGCGGCATTTACACTTTCCTGGTTATCGGAGTTCACAAGATGCCCTTTCCATCTCGATTAGAAAGATCCGATGGACATGGCACATACTGACTTACGTATATTTACCGGATTGTTCTATTAGCGTTTATCTGGATCTCTCCGTGCCGACGCAGAGGAATAAAAGTACCGAGTCTAACTCTATTCGCAGTTTAGAATTTATGGTCCCAACTCGCAGTATCATTTAAGCAAGTGGTAGGGGGACAGCAAGCGTTTTATGTAGCTCCGTTTCAGCAAGATCAATCATACAATCAGCTCCGATACCAATACTTCCAACGGCAATGTTATCCCTACGAATGCGAAGAAATTAATACGAACAAGTGGACATTGTCATTCTCTACAGTATTAATTAGATGTCCGGTCTGTTAAGACTATTTCACATGCCATGCTGCAGTTCTGAACATAGTGTTCTATAAAGACGCTTGGTCATCAGCCATGTTTGACCGAGGTGTCATTCTAATTGCAATGGAAGATAGAAGAAACGTCTAAATTTTACAGTGCAATGTGCTTCACACTGTGGTGAACAGTATGCGTCTGCAAAAAGATAAAATGTGGGGAACTGTGTACCAAAACCATTAGATAAGCTTCACTACATCTGTCCCCTTCGCATAATCTAGACGTTTCGCACAGGCTGGGTTATGCTGGATCCAACACAACGACTTTGGAAAAAAAGCGTTAAGACGCTTTCATAGTAGCTAGAAAATGGAGTGGCGTTGATGGAACGTAATTATACCTTTCTGTCTTTAATTAAAGGACTGAACTGAACGCTCCGTTGTAATTTCAAAGACCAATCAATGACATAAGATAAAAAGTATGGTTGATTACTGCTATCATAACGGGCAGCGTTTGCTGACCTTGGAACAGGAAGCCGATTCCTGCTGCATGTGAAATCAGTTGCGAAACTGAATAGTCAACAGCAGGTTTCCCAGAGTTATCACCACTCCTCACGGAGCAAAGACACTCCAGTTACTGTGCACCTAGCCCTTGTATTCACGGTGTAAGTAGCAATTTCACGGAGTAAAACCAGACCCCAATTTTATTGACTGGCGCATTGAACTCACGAATTCGGCGCGAGGGCAACTGGTTAACGAATGTATTGCTGCGAAGCATTTTATTGAACAAATGAACATACATGAGAGCTTACAGATGACACACTCACTGTTTCCTGCTGCAAAGTCACCCGTTGCTGAAGACCGGCCCTCTCATCCGCTGCGCGAAGCAACGCGCGTTGACGTTCTTGTTCAGCTTGCAATCGAGCTTCGTCCCTTTCACTGGAAAAGAAGCGTAAACATTGTAATAAATAGTGACAGTGTTCACTTCATAGGTCCTGTCACTACCATGTCACTGGTTGTGAATTTACTAAGTGATACGCCGCTTTCCGCATAGTGCCGAGAAATGCATCAGTTTCAAGTAAATTGACATACAGGTTTTTCTTCTCATCTGACTCATGGGGAGTCTAGCGTTTTGTCAGTCATACTTGTTGCCGGCCTTAAGGAACCACGCGAGCAACTGTTTAACCCTGGATATCCGTACTGATTATCGCGCATAGAGCATTTCAGCAGTATCTGTTATACCATCAACAGAACATCCGTGTTATGAACATCTACGTCCAATCGAACTGGTTAGCTCATCCAACTTAGTTGTCACGCCTCAGAATGGGTCTGAGGCTCGGGTGTAACTAGAATACACAGGCAAACAGCACATTCACTGACTAGTCATTGTTCTTTGTTCAACGTGCCTGTTCATCATGCGTGGGGATCCAGGTCTATTCGCCCGTTAGGTACAGTTCATGACGCCTACAGGTATACGTTTGGTATGATGCGACTAGGGATCTGCTCCACGCTGTTATCAAAGATACACGGTGTAGGAAATCCTACCGGAGCAACAGAGGTGGTTGGCACTGCAACAAACGTAGCACCATCTCATATCTTTGGCAGTCCAAATCTGAATGGAAAAAGCATGTGTGTTGGTATTTGAGAATGTTGGTTCCGAAACGGAAACGAATTACGTCACATCGTGGCGTATATGAGACATGACGATTTCGGACTGTAGATGAAAAGACTCCACCATAGAACGTTTCTTGAGCCTCCAGTCCCATTAGAATCAGCATAGGCTAGTCAATTTGTTATGTCAAAAGGTGGAAGGCAAGCACGATGGAAGCACATGAGGATATGTCCTGATAGCAATTCTAGTTCATCAATTGGTGGTATAGGAACAATATCTGCTGCATACGAGTTTGTGCACCTTATATCCAGACATTACTTACAACTCAAATAGTGAAGACAAAGCTTACTTGGCCGTGTGCATTAATGTAGCTTGAATGCAACGATGCGACAGCGCAAATGTAAGATCCATCAAAGCTTTTTCACACAGTTAATGTGTACATAAGCATGACAACCCAGTTTCAGTACTAAGTGCTCAGAATCCACTTGAATAACTTCAGATAAAACGTATATTGGATAATATGTCTAGGCACAAGTCTAAACCGAACTGCCTACTTAACTGCCATGGTTTAAAAGTTGTAAGTAGCAGATAGCAGCCGAAGTGGTTCATCACATAAGTAGTCGGATTCGTGCTTACTACTTTACTAATCTGAATTATTTAAAATTGTTTTGATAATAACCTACTATTACTGTAAGACCTTTGACCATCGGTGTGGCAGACTCCCAGAGACGGCCTGGTATGTCATGAGGACAATATCACGCTTCTGTTTTTGGAGCGTCACTTGGGTGCGCAGATTATGAAAGGTCAGCTTAATGTGAACAGACGTTTACCTTAGCGTAATTAGCGGTCAGATTCGTTTTAGGGGCTGTTAACTCTCCTCACTGCGTACGCAGAACTCGGCTGCAAGCTAAAGCAAAGTGGTCAACGTATCACGGGCCAGAAGCATGAAGAAGCTAACGTCAAAGCCAACAGTGACCGGACGCTCTCGGCTTCTCGGCTGGAGTGTGAAGGATCCGAAACATGCATGACTGGAAACATTCAGATATGGCAAGAAATCGTGCACCATGGTGGACTAGTTTCGATTCTGTATCCCTATGAGCACCGGATTTTTCCTCTCTTTCTATGCGTTGTGGCACTATGCCAATTGTATTCTTGGCCGTGTGAATTTATATATATATATATATATATATATATATATATATATATATATATATGTTGGGCGTTTAACTTCTGTAAGTCAACAGTTAGCCAAACCACGTGAGGCTGGTAGTATACTTCGCCCTGCAAGCTAAACCTCCTCCGACCAGAGGCCGAATAATCTCGTGATATTTCACTCACCGGAGTCCAGTGATCCATCACCCCAAGTGCGCTACGATCAAGATATCGAGATTTTACAGAGTCTAATTGACAGACTCCAAGACGCTGGTGAGGACTCGGTAAATGTGAGACAAATTACCCGTCTTGGAAAGCAAGGTGATCAACGAAATCGGCCTATGGGAATCACTTTTGTGGACGAAGCAAGTCCAAGACTGATGAGGTTGCGCTTAAGTAGACTGAAAGGTTTGAAGATCCATGTTCGTCCAGACCTGGACTCAGTAGACTGGAAGCGGCTCAAGTCTGCCATCATTGAGCTGAAAAGACGCACTGGTGCGGGGGAATTAAATCTTCGTATCGTAAATTTTCGGGTGTTTTCTAACAATCTGCGAATCAGGATAAACAGGCTGCTCACACTTCAAGCACGCCCGGCGGCTCCTGCTGCGACCTGCGAGTGGTCTTCACAAATGTTTGCAGTGTTATGAATAAGCGCGATGAGCTTTGTTGTTTCGTTGCGTCTAAACTGTCAGACGTAGTGGGACTCGCAGAGACATGGCTGCATGAAACGTTATACACCCAAGAACTTGAACTCACCGGTTACTCTTGCTTCCGATGCGATAGAGTAAACAGTGCCCACGGTGGTGTCTTACTTTATATCCGGTCTTCCCTGTGTGGGAGACTTGTGAGCACCTACCGACGTGACGATGGTTTGTGTGAGCTACTGTGTTGCTCCATCTGCCTCAAGCGCCGAGAACTGCTTGTGGGCACAGTTTATCGTATCACTCTGAGTCGTTGTTTGGATTGGCTGCCCATTCTTCGAACCCACATGAGTCGTCCACACATTCTACTTACGGGCGATTTTAACCGTCTTCGAATACGATGGCCTGATGTGCATTTGATACCTGGACATAGTGAGGTTGAAGCAAAGTTCGTGGATTTGGTACTTGAAACTGGTGCATTGCAAAAAATATGCCAGCTAACACGTATAACAATACGCTTAACCCCCGCCTGTCTCGACGTGAATTTAACGAGCTACGAACAGCGAGTGCGTAACGTTAGGATCCTGGAGCCCCTGGGTACAAGCGCCCATTCAGTGCTCATAGCCGATATGGAATTATCTTTGCCGTATTCACGTCCGCTAGAACCACCTCCCAACTACTGGAAAACGGACTTCGATGGTCAAGCTCGAGCCGCGAGCCAACTGGATTGGTCTCTGTCACAAGCTGCATCTGTGGAAGATTGTTCGATATTTATAAAAGAGAGATTGTCATCATTGTGTTCTCAATTTGTGCCATTGAAATATCGGAAGGTTCTACCAATTAAGCCTCATTGGTTTGACAAAGAGTATGGATACCTGGCCCGGAGGCGGCGCAGACTGTGGGACAAATTCCACCTCTCTGGCTCTGACAATGATTACGAATGGTATAAACGTAAGCGGAACCTCTGAAACAGTGCAAAAAAGAATAAACGCCGACATTTCGAAGAGCAGCTCGCAGTAGCCGCGAAGACCGCCCCAAAGAGAATTTCTGCATACGTGAAACGACGCATGAAGCCGGCAGGTGATGTGCCAGTGCTGAATGGCCCGGATGGACAGCCCCAAACCTCCGGCCCACATCCTTCCTGTATTTGCGAATGACCGGGTATCTGTTCCGATTTCGACGTGTACTGCTTTTACCGAACTCGATAGTCTGCATTGCGGTGTTGAAGAGGTATGTGAACTACTCGCCAACCTTGACGGCACCAAACCTGCTGATCTGATGGGCTTCACTAACTGGTTCTCAAGTCGATTTCCACCATCCTCTCTCCTGTCGTGACTGACCTTTTCAACAGGTCGCTGTCCGAAGGTTCGTTGCCGGTTGACTGGAAATGTTCGATAGTGAAGCCTATTCCGAACGGCTGCGACTCTTGCAAAGTAGACAACTACAGACCAATTTGTCTGACACCTATTTTCGCAAAGGTTGCTGAGAAATTAGTGCAGAAGGGATTGCTGCAGTTGCTACAGTCAAACGAGGTCCTGACGCCCGCACAGCACGGTTTTATGCAAGGCCGCTCATGCATTACGAACTTGCTTGTGACGAGGCATGTGTGGTTGAAGACAGTAAGCAAGGGGAAGTCTGTCGATGTGATATTCATCGATTTCAGTAAAGCATTCGGCAAGGTCAGCCATGAGGAGCTCCTTCACAAACTCAGGATGTGCGGTGTCGGTGGCTCACTGCACCGGTGGATCCGTCACTTTCTTGCTGGACGAAAGATGAGGGTACAGGTCGACGACCATCTAACTGACTGGTATCCCTATACAAGTGGCGTGCCTCAAGGCACTGTGCTGGGGCCCACTCTGTTCCTGATCCACATCAACAATTTACCTCAGCTTCTCCGGTCGCCGGGTGCCATGTTTGCGGACGACATGAGGATTTGGAGAGTATTTGACGCTCTCGATGACTGTGGCCAACTTCAGCAAGACTTCAACCGCTTATCTACATGGTCTGCAGAAGTACTTCTCCCGGTCAACCCAAGCAACTCTGTATTTATGAGCCTGAGGTGGGGTGCTGACGGCCGGAGTTACACCCTTGATGGCCAACCGCTACATGCCACACCCTCCGTGAAGGACCTAGGTGTACTCTTGCGCTACGATTTGAGGTCCATGGCCAAAACGAAAAGGCTATATCGTAACGAACTGCGTATGCTTTGGGCGCTAAAACGTAGCTTCTGCACATGGTCTGAAGAGGTTGCCACTCGCCTCTTCTCTTCCATCATTAGAGCAGTACTAGAGTACGGTACGCCCGCCTCCTTTCCGATTACCCGAGGCGAGGCACAAAAGATCGAACGCGTCGAACACGTTTTTACCAGACTCCTCCCGAGTTTATGTGGCTTGGAGCAGGAAGACCGGTGCGAGAAACTGGGACTCTACACCTTCTCCTACCATCGGATGCGAGTCGACCCCATTATACCTACTGTATTCTACATCTCGGTGAGTTCCCCATGCTAAGACCAATATTGCACTTACGAGGGCCAT